ATGATAGAGCCAGAAAAGAATCCTCAGGAGTCTGGACTCCCAGCCCCTTGTTCTAACCTCTGTCTGCACTGAGAACAGGGACAGCACTGCCTCAAGACAGCTGCATGCTGCTGGGTTGTTGCACACACTCCCTAATAAGCTCAAGTGATTCCAGAAAAGAAAGTCAAGCCCAAATGTCTGACACTCCAGAGTGCTCGTGGCATACAGGGCATAGGCCTGCCAAGAGCCAACAGAGCTCTGGGCAAATTAAAATGGCCCAGGGAAGCCAGAATGTGGTTCACAAGATGAGGCAAGGCAAAACTATCAGCCATGGTCACTGAGAACCCCTGAGTGCAAGGGCTGCTCAGGGCTAGTACCTTTTATAAATAAATAAAATAATAAATTAATGGAGATATCCTATCTCCTAGAACTGGAAGGGACCTTGAAAGGTCATTGAGTCCAGCCCCCTGCCTTCACTAGCAGGACCAAGTACTGATTTTGCCCCAGATTCCTAAGTGGCCCCCTCAAGGATTGAACTCCCAACCCTGGGTTTAGCAGGCCAATGCTCAAACCACTGCGCTATCCCCCACCCCCAACCTTAGCCTCTCCAGATGAATGTATCTGAAGGGGTATTGTGCTTCTCAGCAGCTCCAGGAGCCACAATGCCTCCCGGAGACCAACATAGTGTAGGGCAGAGCTCTGCTTTAATGGGACAATCAGGCTCTTTAACACACACTTCAAGAGAAACGCCTGCGTTTTACTCCTTGCTCAGTCTCCAATTCACTGTGATACCTTGGGGCAAGTCACATCACCTCACTGCCTCAGCTCCCCCATGGGGATGCACACACCTAATAGTACTTCCATAGTTCAGGGGCGTGTGCAGAGCAAATACCACGCTTAGCATAAACAAGGAAAGATCTGCTGGGTCCAAGCATTTACGAAAACAGCCCCAAAATTCAAGCTTCATTTGCTTAAGAACTTCAGGGGCAGAAAGTAAATCATCATATCATGCTGATTTGAACCAGAAGAAGAAGAAGAAGATTACAAGGCGCCAGCCTTTAACTTCAAAGAGAAGCGGGGCTATTTTAAAAGCAGGTGCAGGAGTTCAGCAAGAAACCAGGCAGACTGTGTTTCTACAGGGGTTTTTCTATTTGCAACAGCAGGCAAGATCCCAAATCCTTTCTACTTATCAGTGGATTTCACTGACTTAACTTCTTCGTCTTCAACCATCAAGGGTTTTGCAGCCAGTTAGCCATTTTCTTCCTATGGAAAAATCCATCTTCATCTCAGTGCTTTAATGTGGTTGAGGTCAATACTGCTGCCTATGGAGAGGTTGACAGTCCTAAGCCCATTTAAGACTACTTGTCCTGGGAGTGGAAACACAAAACACAGAGGAGAGCTGCTGATCTTTGTTACCCAGCAAGTTGAATTTTTAAATTTTGCTTTTCTCCGGTGATTTTAGTGCTTGTGAAAGATGCAAGACTGAGTTCTGGGGATGTGGAAAACTTGCACCGCAGGGATCTGGGGAAGCATTTTGGGGGGTTCAATTCTTTGGGTTCAGCATACACAGCTTCTTGTCCTGCTTCGATTAGACCCAAAACCTCAGACTAAAACTCAGTCAAAACCATTGACTTGCACCTGGCTTCATGCTGAAGTCATTTAAAACAATGTCAGATTACTTGGTTTAAAATCATGAACTAATCCACGTTTGGCAAGTAGTTGAGTCCAGAAGTGTGAGCCTGTTGGTATTTCATCTGAGTTTCAAATTCATAATGAAACCTAGCAAGATTTACATAGCTTTGCTGAGAATAACAGCTGTAAGAAATGGAGACTAAAGGCTTCTATTTATCCACAGAACGGATCCAGGCCCAATAATCGTGTTTCAACTGTGACTCGGAGAGGAGTGTAAATAAAATTCAGTGTCCATTCAACCCTTCCCTTTGCTGCAGACTGTCAGGAAGGATAGACACGTCTATCACGCACTAGACAGAGACCACCTTTTCATTTTAGAAAGCTTACCCAGTGGCCATCAGATGATAACAAGCTTGGCAACTACAGATCTCGGCTGGAATTGAACAGATCTAGAAGTGAAAGGTTCTGTCATTGACTACAAGTCCCTCAAGCCATCCCATCCCCTTAGAAGTTTTTAATTCTTGCTCTCTTCTCTCCAAAAAGAGAGGCTGCAGGGGTTAATGACATGAGGGAGAGAACATGACAGCAAAGTGACCTGGTAGTTTCACAAAAGCAGTTTTCCATCCAAGTAGAAATGGACCCAAAATTCAGATATGGATTTCAAACACCCCAAAGATCAATGGGATTAGGATTCAGGAGTGCCAGTGCAGCTCATCAGAAAAAATGGGAGAGAGGTGCAATATATGGGTGTGAGTTTAAATACCCCGAAGTCTAGGGATATTTAAATCTAGAGTGTTGGTCTGGCCCTTCCCTAGTCACAAGCTGAACAATTATTGCATCCCCTTCAACTTTCTGATCATCAGAACAGTGAAAGTTGGGCTATATTAACAGTGAGACAGTTAGCTGGAATATGAGGGAAGGGTTGCGTGTAGCCCAACTCTGGTTTGTGCAAGATGGATTAAAATACTCCAGGGACACAGATTACAATTTATCAGAACAAACAAAACAAAACTCCTGCTACTGTTCAATTTTACCTTAAAGGCGGGGGAGGAGGAGGGGTTGCTCAGTGATTTCTTTCTTCAGCTGCCTTCTTTCTCTCTGGAGGTTCAGACTGCCTTTGGCTATGTCCACATAGTGAGCTGGGGCTGTAATTTCTCTACTCACGTATGCATACTCGTGGGGGCTCGATGAGAGCTAGTGCATGTATAAATAGTAATGTAGCTGCAGTAGCACAGGCAGTGACAGTGGAGGCCTGGCTGAGCTGTGCCCAGTACAAACCTGCCTCAAACTGGTGGGTATGTATTTGCCATGGCTCAGCCATGCCCCTGCTGTTACCGTGGCGACACTGCTACTTATCACTGAGTTACCGTGAGTATTTGGACTAGAGCTGGGGAATCACATCCCCCTAGCTCATAGCGCAGATGTAGCCTTTGATGAATAAACAATGCAACATAAGCTCTCTCGCTTACATCCTGCAGTCTGCCTTGTGCAGTAACAGCTAACTCAAAAGGTACGTTTGCCAAGCAGTCAGAGGTGTGATGCCAGCACGGGTAGACGTACCTGAGGTAGATCTGATCTAGCTAGAGTGAGTACCAATAGCAGTGAAGGTGCAGCCCAGCAGACTGCAGTCTGGGCTAGCCAGCAGAGTATATTCCCAGGCTCTCTGGCCGACTTGTACTTGGGTGGCTAGCCCATGCTGCAGCAGCTTCTCTGCTATTGCTTCCCATGCTAATTCGATGAAAGGTACCTCTGGACGTCTACATGCGCTGCAATCACAGTTCCAATGGCAGTACAGACATACCCGATGTGTAAGTGGGAGACTGGGGGCTCATCAGAATATATGTCTGAATACCTGTCTGCGGCTGGATCGCTTCAGGTATCAAAAGGAAGTTGCACAAGAGCCTGCAGTTCACAGATCATCGTATCATACAACCCCAGCACCGCTCTCTGCAGACTTCAGCCTGGTCTGCACGGAGGGGCGGGGGGGGGGAATCGATCTAAGTTACGCAACTTCAGCTACGTGAATAATGTAGCTGAAGTCTACGTACTTAGACCTACTCACCGTGGTGTCTTCACTGCGGTGAGTCGACTGCTGCCGCTCCTCCGTCGACTCTGCCTGCGCCTCTTGCGGCGGTGGAGTACCGGAGTCGATGGGAGAGCGCTCGGGGGTCGATTTAGCTTGTCTAGACTAAACACGATAAATCGATCTCCGCTGGATTGATTGCTGCCCACCGATCCGGCAGTTCGTGTAGACATTCCCTTCTGAATAACCACTGTGGATACTGTTTCAGACTGGTAAGAAAGCTCTGTCTTACATTGGCACCGCACTAAGATCCAGCCAGCTAATGATGAAGACAGCAAAACTAGTGCTGGGCCTGTGTGTGTGTGTTTTAGAGGGAATGGTGCTCTTTGGATGCTGGTTTCAAGCTAAGATGTACCAAGAAATTTGGTGATCGCTCCCCACAGCAGATATACCCTAGAAACACTGCCACTTGGACCTCACTTTTTTTCAAAACCTGCCTTTAACTGTGCACCCACTTACCTGTGCTCTCAGCACTAAGAGACACAAATTCTAGCACCAAGACAGCACTTTTCCCCTCCAACGCCATACTCCTAGCACTAAGTTGGAGCACTCTCCCTCTGTATCACTAGCAGTCAGGGGTGAGTGGCAGTACTCTCTCTCTCTCTCTCATACCCCCCCCACCACACACACACACACACTAAGTGGCAGGGCTTCCTGTCTTTTCTGGCTAAACCACAACTGAACCTGGGATGATAAAACTGTGGAAACCAAAGTCCAGTGCACTTTAAGGGTTCCTGCTTACATCAGCACAGTAACAAAACATCTGCTGGGCTTCAGGGATTCTTTTTATTTTTTTAAAGCGTGTTTTATTGGAGTGTCCTGGTTTTCTTCAAGATGCTGTTGCATTTTTTCTCTTCCAAAATTTTAAAATAAAACCCAAACTTAGTTCAAATCTCCACATTCCTGAGCCTTCAAGATAAACTATCCCTTTTTGGAATGAGTAAATGTTTCCACTTGAAAACGGAATCTCTTTGGAAAGAAATGGCAGCCAAGTGAAGTGTCATGTGGCTTCAGGCTGCATAAACCTCTTCAGAAAAGCCAACTCTTTACTGTGAAATGGCAACATTAGAGAGCTTCTCTCTCTGTCTCAAAGAGAAGTTGTCATCCCACCCACACAGTGCAGCCAGCTAAGATCAAAGCAATCTTTCCTTAGGGCCTGATCCTGTACCCACTGAAATTACACCAGTGACTTCACTAGAAACAGGATCAGACCCCTAAACTTGTAAAGAGATTGTTTAGTGCTAACAATACAAACAAGTAATAACATTTTACAGCATTTGAACTTCAGTTTGAAAACAAGACTCACCACTTCTTTGATTTCAACCGTGGGGCTGGATTCCGGGGGATAAGGAACAGAGCTCTCATGGGATGCATGTCACAAAGGGCTAAAAGGTACAACAAGAGGCATTAGGTAGGGCAGGAAGCAGAACAGATACTGAGCACTTCACAGATAAAGCATGTATTGGGGCAGGTGGAGAATCTAGAGACAGGATTTCTCTGAAGTAACAAGAACTCTAACATACCACCACACAGAAGGATTTGAATAAATACCCTTCCAGAGGCACCTTCCAGCCCAAGGAGTGGCATGACGCTAGAGATGGACTGGAGCTGCAAAGCTTGGATCAAGATCTGAACCCCCCCCCAAGCTTTGGGGGTGTCTGTACGTGGAGTTTTGGTTTAGAGTTAGGGGCTAGCTATGAAGTTTGTATGCCTGCAGCTTTGTGTTTAACCACACTGACAGGCACTGATGCAGGCGACAGCTCACATATGTGCTGCACTTCAAAGCCATAGCATGTGCAGGGATCTCTGCCCTGGTTACTTTTAACAAACAAGATCCTAGCATAAAACTGATAGGAGTCTTAACAGGTTTACGAGCTACCTAAATGCATCAGCTAAATCCTTTGCATTGTTATTTTTGCCACAAGAAAGGCCACTGAAATAATACTCAGCGCATTGACAATGTTTTTCATCCATACACCTCAGAGTGCTTTAAAAAGAAGGGTAATTATTTTTTAATCCCCATTTTAACTAGGAGTAATTGAAGCCCAAGATCACAAGTCAGTGAGACAGCGAGACAGAATCCAGGTCTCTTGACTCCCATTCCAGTGTTCTATCCACTGGATCACACGGACTTATCATAGCACCTAGAAACCTTCCTGTTTTAGTTCTCAACATTCACCCCCTCTTCTGGGCTCCCCAGTCCACCCTTTGTCAGTCTTGTTTAGACTTTTCATCTCCATGGGGTGGGGACTGTATGTATGTAGTCTGTTGTACAAAACAGCGTGCGTGGCTGGTGCGTAGCAAATAAGAGCCAGTTACAATTTAGTCATAATAACTCAACCAAGGCAGCGCGTCTACTTACGAGGAGCACCTTCTGCCATCTCGATGGCTGTTATCCCCAAAGACCATAAGTCACTCTGAAAAACAAAATGCAGAGAAATGTCTAGCGCAGAAGAACCTTGTAACAATTGAGAGTCCTCTGAGGGAAGAGTGACAGTCCTGCACTCCACAGGAAGGGTTTCTGGGCCATTTTATTATGGAGAGTCTGATCTGTATTCTCTCTCTAAGTCCTTGAACTCCTGGCTCAGAAGATTTTCTTTTATGTTTTTCTCATTGTCAGTGCTTTGGAGTAGGATTCCCCTCCCCAGAGGAGATGTGGTTTTAACTTTGTTTGAATGCCTGAAAAACAATTGCCGTATGAGAACTCGGAAGCCCCATGATCCAGTGTGATCATGTTTCAATAATAAAGCAATACATCTTTTGAGAGTACAATACAGAAACTCAGACACATGATATTTCAGCTGCAGCAGCAGCACTGGGCAATTCTATGCTGAATTGTTTCACCCCGCTCCCTCTTCCAATATTGCCAGCTTCTAGGGTGACCAGACGTCCTGATTTTATCTGGACTGTCCCGATATTTACTTGTTTGTCCCGCGTCCCGACCAATGTTCGGTCGGGATGCAAACGTCCCGATATTTTGGGCTCCAGCGCACAGGCAGAGGGGGCTCGCGCCTCCCCGCCCCAACTCCACCCCCTCCCTCCCCCATTGGATCCCTCCCCAAATTCCCGCCCTTGCCCCACCCCCTCACTGCCCCATTGGATCCCTCCCCAAATCCCTGCCCTGGCCCCGCCTCTTCCCCAAGCACGCCGCATTCCTCCTCCTCACCCCTCCCTCCCAGGCTTGCGCTAATCAGCTGTATGGCGGCGCAAGCTCTGGAGGAGAGGGGAGAAGCACGATGCAGCAGCCAGCTCAGGGGAGGTGGAGGCGGAGCGGAGGTGAGCGGCAGGGGGGGGCGTGGAGCTGCCCACCAATTTTTCCTATGCTCCGGCTTTTCTTTCTTTCTTTTTTTTTCCCCCTCCACCGCCTGTTCTTGGGGTTGTTTGTTTTTTTGCCCCGATGGCCTTTCCCCCCCCCCCCCGATATTTCACATCTCTCATCTGGTCACCCTACCAGTTTCTGACTTGTGTGCATGTTAACCTGCAGCTGTAACAGAACAAGGCAGAGTAGGGTGTGCAAGCACAAGACACCTCTGGACTCTCTAGACCAGTCGGCAAACTTTCAGAAGTGCTGTGCCGAGTGTTCATTTATTCACTCTAATTTAAGGTTTTGGGTGCCAGTAATACATTTTAACATTTTTAGAAGGTCTCTTTCTATAAGTCTATAATATATAACTAAACTAGTGTTGTATGTAAAGTAAATAAGGTTTTTAAAATGTTTAAGAAGCTTCATTTAAAATTAAATTAAAATGCAGAGCCCCCTGGACTGGTGGCCAGGACCCGTGCAGTGTGAGTGCCACTGAAAATCAGCTCTTTTTTGTTGACAGAAATCTTGTCAATATGCTTAGAATCAAAGGAAACAGAGATTGCTTCCTTTACTAAAATGAGATTATTGCAAATGTATTAGTGTGCTTTCTCTTTGCCAAGTGGGCTGCAAAGCTTTTCTAATTTTTAAAAAAACTTTAAAAAATCCACATCAGTATAAAATGTGTGTTTCCTGCTGTGTTTTTCCTTCCCTTTCAGACTCCATAGATTGCCTACCCCTGCTCTAGACGGAGATACACTGACAAAGTAAATAAGAAGTCAATATGATTGAACCTGCTCTATGGATCTTTCCCTCTCCTGGGGGGCAAAGCAATTTCTCCACATGTGGAAACTGTTCCTCAGACACCACATCATTCATACCAACTTCTGTTGTATCTGCTGCACCTTCTATACTCTCCCTTTTTACTTCAACACATTTGAAACATTTTAATACCTGTGAAAGGAGTGAAATTGGCAGTCCCATTGACTGGGGCGCTCTGTCGACAGAGGGACAAACCCTGATGTCCTTATTCAAGCCAAATCCATCACTGGGGATGGACTAAATCAGACTGGATTAATTTATTTATTTAAGGCATCTTTACTGGCGTAGCTGAACATCTTGCATATATTCATGATGTAGCAACATATTACCGTCCTCTTATTACAGATGGGGAAGCTGAGATAGAGAGAGGGGAAGTGACTTGCCCAAGGTCACATGCAGTGTGTGGTAGACCCAGATATGGAATTTGGACCTCTCGAGTCCCATAGACTGGTATAGACCCTTCTATACTAGTATAGTTAAGCAGCAGAACCCTTCTGCTGTGGACACAATTATAGCGGTGTTTATACCAGTATAGCTTATTCTGATTCAGGAACAGAAATAAGCTATAGAAGTATAAGGCACCTTTATACTGGTAGAAATGAATCTAGGCCAGGTCTACAGTATAAACTCGAGCTAGCATAGCTATGTCTGTCAGAGCTACCAACCAAAGGGGGTGGGGGCTGGAATAAGCTCTACCAGCAATGGTGCTGGTATAAACTGTCCACACCACTAGGGAGTGCTTTAACAGTACATGATACCAGTACAGCTATACCAGCAAAGCACTCCTTGTGTAGGCCTGAACCTACGCTAGGGCTTTACTGATATGTCGGGGGGGGGGAAATTAGTTCACCCCCTAACAAACAGTTATATCATTAAAACTTTTAGGCATAGATCAGCCCTTAGACTAGCCCTCCCATCTAAACTGCCTTGCTAACCCTTTCCTGATGAAGGTGTGGGGGCAAGGAAAACTTCCAATTCCTCTGTTGGGGCCCTGCTTTCCTCCGTAGAAGCAGCATTGTGTCCAGCCCCAGATCTCAGGGGATCCACCAAATTCCAGGACAGATGTCCCACAGGAGCTGTGCGGCCAGGGCCAAGGTGTCTTCTACTAACAGCCACCCCTTTACTCCACCAATGGAAGGGTGCCAGAAAAGCTAATACAGCCTATGGTTCCTGCATGGTACTGGGGGAGGGGGTGATGTGTGTCAGTGCTCACACAGGAGAGGTGAGAGGTATATGTAGAGGAGCCCCTTCATGCCCACATCGAGGAAGTGGGATGATCCCTGCTGTCAAGGGACTGGACTGAGATCCACCAAAGTATGACCTATAGAAATCTAAATAGTTATCAAGGATGCATTCGTGTTACAACTGACCTGGACTGGATTTGAACTGATGTTAGAAGGCGCCATGTTCTCCTACCAATCCTCCCTATGGCAACTAATTTCACAACATGCACCACCATCAAATTAGTGGGCAACAGAACAAAGGTGGAATGACATGGCTATGCTTTTAATTCTTTCTAGCAAGACTTTGGTGTTAGGAGCAACTGGCTCAGTTGATAGTCTTGCTCTGATGGCATAAATAGCCCACAGTATCAATCAGTGTGTCCAATTGGTAGTGGACAGCTCACTAGTTAAAATCAGATGATCTATAAATGGATTTGATGCAGTGCCCATAGACAGGCTGCTTAGGATTGCTTAAAAATATAAAGCAGCTTGAGATAATTCAGAAGAAAGAGGGGACTGAGCTAGGTATTACTGTTGATTAAATGGGAGACAGGAGAGCTACATTTCTCCAATGGGAGGAGAAACAAACAGATATGCTTCCTTGTACTCAGGGCCGGTGCTACCATTAAGACAAACTAGGCAGTTGCCTAGGGCGCCAAGATTTGGGGGCGCCAAAAAGCGGTGCCCCCAATTTTTTTTTTTACAGCGTTCCTGGGCTGGGCTGCCGGCGGCGCGCTGACACGTGCAGCTCAGACTCCCTCTCCCAGCGCAGCGGCCGCTCCACTTCTCCCGCCTCCCAGGCTTGCAGCGCCAATCAGCTGTTTGGCGCCGCAAGCCTGGGAGGGGAGGAGAATTAGAGCGGGGGCGGCGTGCTCGGGGAGGAGGCGGAGCAGAGGTGAGCTGGGATCGGGAGCTGCCGCACGGCTCCCCGGGGGGGGGGGGGGGGGGGCGGGGGGGGGGGGGGGGGGCGCCGCGGGGGGGGGGGGGGAGCTGCCGCGGGGGGGGGCGCCTCAGGGTGGAGGGGGGCGGGGAGCTACCGCAGGGCTGGGGGGGGGGGGCACAAGGTGGAAGTTTCACCTAGGGCGCGAAACTTCCTTGCACCGGCCCTGCTTGTACTCTGCTCCGAAACCTTCTGCAGCCCATGTGGCGAATTCGGCAATTGATCTCCCGAACACCTAGAGCAAATGGGGAGCTTCTTTTTGGAAAACTCACTTGATATAACTCTCCTATCACTTCTCCTGGGATCATCGCATTTTCAAATGGCAACATTTATATTCCTGGCTATTCACCAGGAAGCATTTGTAGGCGATGTTCAACTGCCCGTGCTAGAGAGCATCTAGAAGTCATTGATGTGCTGGGTTTAAGCTTTGAGATCCATTAATGAATCTCAAAGACACTTCAGTTCTTGCATACTGGAGAAAATGCTTCAATTACCAGGACACAGGAAAGAATTAATGTATATGCATGAGAGAGAGAGAAAGTGATAAGTTTCCTTAGTGGCCATGATACAACTTACTTTTGGCCGAAGTTAGGTAATTCATTACTCTAGACACTGTGTAGGTAGAGCTGTATAATGATTAATAACCAAGTACTGAATACATTAAAAACAGAACACACTAATTTCAGTGCCTTCATTTGAAGTATAGCCTCAGACACATCTCTGAGGTTGGTGGGCAGCCAGCTGGCACCATAAAGAGACTCAGCTAAAGCAAAGCCGAGGAGCTCTCCTATAGATGATATATTCCACTGCAGAGCAGGGGAAAAGGCCAAACTTTCAGGTACAGCCATCTACTCCAGCAGGGGTCCACTGGCAACAGCTTCGCCTTCTGGTGCCTGTCAGCATATCCAGTTCTATACTGTAGTCCGCTAAAATGATTTCCTGTCTTCATTGATATGAAGCCAGTGATCCCAGCTGCCTTTGGGATCAGTGGTGGATTACTGCACGGGCCCATGGGGCCTGTGACCAGGGGCCCTGGCCAATTTGGAGCCCCTGGAAAAATCTCCCCCTGCCATGGCCCCAGGGCGGGAGGAGCCCCCCCACCAAAGGGTTAAGTCTGTGGAGGTCCTTTTTTTACCCACTAATTCCAGTCTTTTATATTTGTTATCTCAAGCCATTTGGCTTTATACTGATTTGGGATCTGTAGGATCTGATTTGCATCCTTTTTAAAAATTGTCATTTGCATTTTTCTCTTCACTTCAAAGCTAGAGCATCAGCTGCAGTGAGGTGAACCTGAGACTGGAGCCAGATCCAGTGGCCACCCGATTACAATAAACTCTGAAAACACCCTGCAGTTTGAAGTGTCGGCAGCAATCAGCCTTTTGTTTTCTATCCACAAACAGCCAATGCCAGCTTCAGAGACAAAACCATCTAGTCTGCTAAGACTATTTGATCCTCGAGGACAATAGGGGAATTCTGATCCCAGCTCCTGCTCACACTTCCACTGCATATTAAGTATCTTAGCTATTTTGGAAGGAGGAAAACATCAGGGATTTCTGAGGAAAGAAATGCTGGCTATGAAGATATAAAGCCAGGATTTTTAACAATATCAAGGAATTTCAAGTGCTCTTTCCAGTGACTGACTCCTTTTGGGGCTGTAAACCTCTCCAAATTGTATTTAGAATATGCAATTTAACAAGGAATCTATCTAGTGCTAGCAAGAAAGAGAGCAGAGAGCATCTCAAGAGGAAGAATCAGGCATACAGATAAACCACAAGCTTACTAGCCTAAGGGCATATATTCAGCGGATGGAAACCCCCAGGGTATTTGAGCCAGAACGTCTTCTTGGGTGGGGATTTGCAAGGGAGGAGCTGTGCTTGCTGGAAGGAGCACTGCCAGTGAAGCCGGGGAAATGCCAATTCAGCAAATCCTCCATGCAACCTCTTTTTGGGACACTCCTTTGAAGTGCTGGCCAAAGAGTAAAGCTGATCCCCCAGAGTGGAAATGCCTGAGGGAGGGTGGTGGCTGCACCACCTGCCCTCTTGTGGAGTGAATACCCTCTGGGGGCACAGGGAAGTATAATTTACATTTCCCCGAGCCAACATATGAAACCAAATCCATGCCGTTCAGCAGTCACTCCCTGTTGTGAGATGTGCAAAGGGCAAAACACCTGGGGCAAGCTCACCAGTGCTTCTTTGAGTTAGCAAGAGGATGCTCCTTCTTGGTTCCCTCAGTAGACCTGTGGCCTATGAACCATGAAGATTTTAATTCATGTCTCAGGAGCAGTATTGTGCAGACTATATGTACACACACATAAAGGAAGACCAACTAGAGGATTGGGGTGTCCGCTAATTGGTTAAATCTGCTTAGGTATTTGTCAACCAGTTGGCAGACACTATATGTACTAACTAAAGAAACATTACTACTGCCCATAAAGTTTTGTAATCTGAACTAAAATGCTTGCAGCAGAGATACACCATATAATAGCTAGTGTGGGTTACATATAAAAAAGTTCCCTAAATGATCCCTACTATAAAACAGACTATCCAGCTCTTCAACAGATGCATGTCACAGTGGTTAACCAAAGAGGATTAACTTTTTGCACATGTGCATATCATTAGCAATTTAAATAACCCTCAGGTTGAAGTCTGAAGCTGGACAGCTGCTCTCAAGGAAACAATCTGTTAAGTTGCTGACTGACATATTTTAATAGACAAAACGTACGAGATTTTTTGGGGGACTTTTTTGGGCCCTCCATCATATATATTTTATTTGCCCCATGGGAAAAGTAATCGTCGATCAAGACTGTGATGCTGTGTCACAACGGTGGAGCGTTTGCATCGTCACATGGAAAAGTTGTATCACTAATATGCGGCTAGCCTTCTATAGGTCCTTGCCTCAGAGTGTCTAACAGTGCTTTCCAAACATGATTTCTCACAATGCCCTCATGGGATGTGGAATGGGCAAATGCACAGAAAGGTTTAAACTTTTCAAAACTGTCTATTCATTTTGGAAGCCTAGCTTGAGCCACGTAGGGGATGAGCATGCTCTGGAGCTCTAGACGACCAGCACTTCTGAAAATCAGGTCCTGACCACCCCAAGCTAGATATTAAAAAATGAGACACCCAGAATTAGTGGACACTTTTGGAGACTTGGGCCTAAGTGACTTGCCTACAGTTAAAGTCAGGAGTAGAGTACAGGGGTCCCAATTTGACCGTCCATCTATTTCTAGTTTGAACTGGGAGTCATGATCCCTGGCTTCTATTCCTGCTTCTGCCATTAACTTGAGGCATTGTCTTGGGCAATGGCAACATTGCATCCTCATGACAATGTCATAGGCACTGACATGATGTTACGTTGTCATCAGGCCTCAAATAAAATTGGAATGCCAAGCAGGACATAAAACAGATCAGTGATAACTGGGACGGTCCCACAAATTTTTGAACATGCAACAACCATAAGACCTGTGTGAATGCCAGCCAGACATGCAGACTTGAAAATATTATTTCAGCTCTTCTTCTCTTGACAGGATAAAATTTAAATATACTGCACTGGACAGCACAACACAACAGTTCAAAGGAAGCCCCCAATACCTCATTCAGCATTGAGAAAGACCTTTTGCAGTAATCTTTAATACTTAAACAGCATGACAAGGATTCACATTAATAACAGACTGACATCTTGGAATCTGACTGCCGTAATGCAGGAGAGGACTTTTCTGCACTTCATTGTGCACTTACAAATTTTAAAAGCTGCCAAATCCTTTGCCAGAATCCTGAATATTAATAATGTTTATGACTGGGACATAACATTTAAGATCAGATCAAGTGTACTCTTCATATGTTTATGATCAGAATTGTAATTTCAAACAGTGACAATGGTGATTAAAAAAAAGTCTAACCTGAGAGATATTCTTTCTGAGTCTCTTTGCTCATTTTAATACTTTAACTGACTTGGACACTTTAATGAGTATTTTTTAGACCTCATTAATATTACATTTGTAGCAACATGTAAGTAAACAAGAAGATGCTTGATGGGGTACCTTGAAGTCGTAAGTGGCATCAGGATTTTCATCACAGGCAATGACTTCAGGAGCCATCCAATAAGGAGTTCCAATGAAGGTGTTTCTTCTACCCACTGTTCTGTCGAGCTGAGCGCTGACACCGAAATCCACTGTGTATAAAAAAAGATACCATATGATCATAAGTAAGGCAGAGACAAAACTGAATGATATTTTTCAGTTGGAACATATGAAGATGGAAAATAATAAAGTCATGTTAAATTCATACAGACTGACTTTTCTTGGTCTTCAGAAAAAAAGATGTATTGGGCCAAAGCCGCCCCCCCCCCCACCCATTGAACTCCCCTGAGTTCAATGGAGTCCTAGCAGGGATGGATTTGGCCATCTGATCTCTTTGTATTGTTGGGAACAATGCACAGGCTCCTCATTACTAGAGTTTAGTAAGAAGAGATCATGACCCCACGTACTAATGGAGAAGAGGGTTAGGAACAGAAACAAACCAGAGCCTTTGTTCTGTCCTATTCCATGTGTGTCAAGGAAAGCCACATATTTTTAAAAGCTCCATTTTCTGGAAATACTCATCCTGGAAATGGCATAAATACAACATGCATAGGGAACTGAAGGCTAAGGACAAAGGATCATAGGGAAATGTAAAATGTGGAGCTGCAAAATGAAGCAACAAGTGATATCTTTCTAATCCATGGTAAAATATTCTGGGCTAGATTCTCTGGTTCTCAAAGTTCACTTTGTACCATGTAACTTAAAATGACTGGAGAATTTCCCCTTGGAGGGGTAACCTCCCCCAGTGTAAAGCTGGATGAGCCAGACTGTGTCCTGAACTGGAACCACCCTTCCTTGTATAAAGGGAGGGAAGGGACATGACTGAATGAGACTCTCCACCCCATTCTTTCACTTGTGTAAGATCCCTGAGGTACTCTAAGTTCAAGCAGCCCTTGTGCAGCTTTAATATGCTGGTGCTGGACAACTGAGCCTCAAGCTCTCTGTGAACTAATTGTATACTGTCTCCTATATTTTGCTCTTCACTGTTGTGGGGCATGGGAGGGTGGTGAGCAGTGATGCTACCTGTGACACTGGAAATGGAATGCAGAATAATTCCTCTGACTGAGGTTCTCTCAAGTATATTGATCACGACACCAACAAGACCACCACAGTGCAATGATTAGAGTGTAGGACTGTGATTTTGATTGTTCAGTGCACCAACATGCAATTGAGATGGAATCTGCTATTTAAATCTCAAGGGCATCTAATAGGGTCAGGGTAGAAATATACATTAACAAATTTTCAACATGCAGAGATGGGGTCAATATGCAAAGATGATCATGAATGTGTAAATCCACATACAGGTAAAAATGTGATGGTGGAACTGAGCAAATGTCAGTGCATGTAAATTTTTTTACATTTGGATGTCAGCTATCATCTGATGATAATTTAGTGCATGGTATTTAGTCAAATCCAAGTCCATTTTAATGAGTCCAGCACAAAACAATAATCCCAGAAGATACCTATTCTGTCCCCATTCCCAAAGAAGGCAAGTCAGTTACTCACTCTCTACCAGTTTCATTTCATCTTCCCAGCCAACCTCATACCACACTTTCCTTACATTTGCCACAAGTTCTATACCATTCTTACCTAGTTTAACTTCTGCATTTTCTGTCAGCAATACATTCTGCCCCTTGATGTCTCGATGAATTACTTTATGCTGGTGTAGATGACTCAAACCCTAGAAAATTCAGTGGATAAGCAAGGTCAGTAGAAACCAAATTCAAAGAGTATTATTTTATACCACTTCCCCCTTGCCACCAGCACACTAATTATTCACCGTAAATGGGAGATTTGTGTTGGAATTAAATCACCTCAAAACACTTTGTCACGTGTACAAAATGTCCTACATTCCACATTGGGATGGCATGAGTAGAAACACCCACTTAACTGTATTCATGGAAGTCAGTGCTTTATATGGTGAGTGAACAGAACTGTAAATTCGATAAGGATTTAGGACTGAGCATTCAGTTACTTCACGAACCAATATTAACCTGAATACCTCAGTATCTATAGTAATGTTTTTTCATGTGCTTTTTTTGCCCTAGGGAGCCATTTGAGTAGCTGAAACAGAAAATTTGGTCTTCTCTCTGTATTTATATCAACCAGGAACTGAAATACCAGATCTCATGTTATATTGGCCCAATAAATAGTATTCACATGCATTAAAAGCCTCTATTAAAAATACAAATACTAGAAGTTGCACATCTCTCTAATAGAAACATCGCTCAAATTAAAAGTCTCTTTTGAAGGCTAGAGGTAAACTAGCTTTCCATTGTGCCTTTTTATTAGTTCATTAATTTCTTTGTGCAACATGCATTTTTATTTCATGTGTTTTACTATTTCAGGGTGTAAAAGTAATAGCCACCTATATTGCTAGTCTGGTACAATATGGATTACCTTAAAAACTAATTTTGTATTGGTTTTCATTTCATATTAAATATTCATTTTTTAAAAAGAAAATAATTTCCGCTATCACTGCTGGCAGTTATTAGTCATTTTATGCTTGTTACTTTGGGACTACTACAGAGAACAATTTCTACAGAGATCTAGAAGCCATCTTGCATTCCATTTCTTAACTGAATTATTCCAGTTTTAGTCTCTAACTGTTTGATCCTAGGAAATGGCAAAGCTTCCATTCAGCTATGTACGCTCAAGCCCTAGGTGTTATAAAATCACATCAAACCTTCAATCTTAAATAATATTTATGAGTTCCCATTGATTATAGTGACAAGCTAAGCACCATTAATGACTCGCAATGTTATATAGCATTTTCAGTATATGATCATATACTTCTACATGCCACCCCTTTACTATCAGTGATCAGAATGAACTAATTTGAAATGTATCTAAATGTCCTATGAATAATTTACTTCTATAGGTCTGGAATTATTTTAATGGCTAATTAACTAAAGAACTACAAGGACTACTATTAGCTGTATTCCCTAACAGAAAATGACTGCCACCTTGGGCAGGCTAGAAAATTTGTCTAACAAGACACTATGTTGATTTTTCACTAGCCACATAAATGCATACTTGTATCTTTAAAAATATACCTGGAAGACTTTAAATACAAATATATTGTATATGGACCGAAGTTTCCTTTGCTGTACAGTGTATAAATATGTAACAAGCCAACTTTCCTTTGTATTTTGTGTCTTGAATTGTGTTACAAAGCACAAAAGAGTAACAAAATGTTAAACACTTGAGAATGGCATCTTTCAATATTACCAATCTCTCAAACTCCTCTGTGGTTTGTAGAACTAGATCCGGGTTTTGGACCTTCTGCCCATCCCCACCCCGTATTTTAAACCTACGGGTTTATTTAAAGATGGGATGAAAAGCACTATCGCCACCACATTTTTTTTAATAATTAAAGGGAAATCTGTTTTCTGAATGAAGGATAGGAGGATCCTGAAAGAAGAATGGGGATACTATAAGCTATTATTTAGATTGTAAGCTCTTTGGGGCAGTGACTATCTTTTTGTTCTGTATTTGTACAGCATCTAGCACAATGGCACTACCACAGTATAAAGAAAGAAAGAAAAAGCTGGCACTGTAACATTCTTTTCAGAAGTGCTTCTGGTTGGGAGATGGGAGAGACAAAGAACTAGAAGTGTCCCAACAGTTCCTTCTTGCCTTCTTAAGCGTATGTACAACAAGGATAGAGAAAAATCCCTTTTCTGGATCAGGTTCTCTCCCCCCACCCCCCACCCCCATCCCTCTGAGTCACAGGTCATGCAATGACTCTCCTCTCCTCTCTAGAAAGAGCAGACCACTGTCACAGGCTGGCTGGCTTTTCAAGGCAAGCTGGGCTCAGCCTGGTCCATGGCCTAGGAGTTACCTCTCAGCCTCACCCCTGATCTGTTAACGTAGGGGCAATTAGTGATCCCAGCTGGATGTAATGGAGACTGACGCCACCTGCAGAGGACTACTTAAACAGCGCTGAGCTCAGTTGAGGGGAGAAGACTCAGGAGAGAGAAGGCAGGAAGTGCCCTCTTTCTTTCTGGGAAGAGCCTAGGGTAGGCCTTAGGGATTGAATAGGAGGCAAGACTCTCCTATGGAGGTAATCCCACAGGGAGCAACGAAGGCTCCTGGAAGCTGGGGGGGGAGGGGACCTGAGTTAGGGCCTACAATGGGTGGAAGAAACCCACAGGGAACAGAGTAGGATCCTGTGGGAGAGAGCCTTGAGACAGGGTTTGTAAGTGGAAGTAGAAGACTTCAGTACCCCAAGGGGACAGAAGAATTATTCAGATATTTGGATTTTCAATTGGACCTTTCAGTTACCCCAGAAAGGGTTTGACCTTTATGTGACTTGGTTGGAGGACCAAGCCAAGGAAGACCCAGTGAGAAGCAGACGACCCACAGGAGGTGCTGGAGCCAACGATACAGGCGACATTACGCACGGATGCAAGGGACATTCCAAAGGTGTGCCCCACTGCAACTACGCATTGCATAGCCAAATGTTGAGGCTTGACACCTGATGGTGACTCTGGATCATGACCCAGTGGTTAGGTTCTGACTCAGTGGTAGGGCTATTTTGCAAAATAGGCTTACCAGTTCATAAATTTAAACTAAGCCTGTGTAACTGTGGTTTCCTGAGACTGAAGGAAATGTCACTACAACAGCTGATTAGCTACAATGCTTGTTATTTTGCTCATCAAATTGCGGGGGATGGTGCGGATGGTGGCATGTATTGTAAATAAACAAATGCTTCGTCATCACTGGACAGCAACTGGAACTTGGTGAGCATTTTATATCCTTCCATGTGCATGTTTGAGCACTCGCTTCCTTCCTCAGCCAGTTTTTTGGCACTCATTCAAATGGTGGCTGTTTCTTGAAATCTATTCTGTACGGGGTTCCCACACCGTGTATATGATGGACTTAAACACAAAACTTATTTCTTACATTCATAGATGTTAAGGTCATACTATTATGATCATGTAGACTGGATACCTGAATGACATGGGCATCATATGGAAGTGCATCATTTACAGAAGGTACCAACGCACTGCTACGGAACACTGGCACTCTCCAGTGTAAGCCATTCCAATCAAACCCTTATCTCATGGGTATAAAAGTTCCAACATCCTCACTCAAGCCAGTGACACCAGGCAAATTGAAAAATAAAAATGTGCCATTTGAGTCGGCAGTTAATAAAATGTCTTTTTAAAACACAGGTTCCTTCTGCAGACTGTATTAGGCCTTCCCTTTCTGTTAATTGAAAATGGGATTCTAGCTTAAATACATTTTTGTACTTATTTATTATTAAAGGGAATTACATTTTTGTTGAAGGAAAAATAGAGTTAAAAGTCGAGAAACTAACAGAGCTAGGGTGCATTAACTGGGAGTTATTTATTATGCATCAGACAAGCACATGAATCATTCACACCTACAGGCACCTAAGAACCATTAGCTTATGCCAGCATATTAGCCATATAGCCTCAAGTGCCATCTCACAAGCTTTACCTCTTTTCTAAGTGTAAAAAGCCAACCCTCAAACATTGCATTTGGTGAATGACATTTAGAACGACAGTAGCTCACTTTGGACACATACCCGTAAAATCTCCCTGCAGATGTACGCAATCCACTCCTCCTTCAAAGTGTTCCCTTTTGTGTTCTTGATCAGGTCAGTGACAGAGCCAGCACCACAGAACTCCATCACCAGCTGGCAAAGGAAACAAAAGAACAATGATTGTAATTAAACTTGAAAGCAGCCTCTGGGTTGTAATAACCAAATGTAGTACATTGCAGTTGGCAAGGTATTTATGATGCAATTTCACTGCAACAGAAAGTGATAATTGAATAATTTTGAGTTTCTTTTCTTTTAAGTTGCAAGAGTTTATTTGTTTAAAAAGAATTTTTTGCACTGCTTGGGAAGCCTGTTTTCCTTCAAGAGGCATCAGAACAAGAAATTGAAGTAACTTTTATTACTGAAAAAAATGGGGGGAAAATTTAGAAATCTTGAAGTCACCAATCCCATTGCTACAGGGCCTAGTTCCATATCAATGCAAATAGGATATATAGAGGTGCCCCAGAGTCAGTCTCTTGAACATAAATTTTCCATAAATATGTGCAGACACCATTAAATCTGGGAGAAGTTTTCTTCCTATAATTCCATTTCTAATGATCTACTTAAGTTTTCACTCCTTTATGCTGGGGGGCTGTTCTCTGCTTCCTTCCATATCAGAAAACATTTCTTAATGGGTGAAGTTTGTTAATCTGTGGAACAGTCTGCCAAGGGGAGTGGTTCACTAGAGTTGTTTCAAATCAGACTGGACATATTTTTTCCCACTCTTCCCCGTTTAATTTGTTTTAACAGTAAATATAAAAATCCAAACAGAGGGCATAAACCTGAGGATCTTATTGAGGCCCAGACCCAAAACTGATCAGTCATGAAATAAGAGAGACAAGACCAGCACACTGGGTCTGATCCTCCAGTCCATGCACCCACCAAACTCCTACTGTTTTCCAGGGAAATTTTATGCACATAAAGAATGCAGGACTGGACCCAATATATATATGTGTGTGTGTGTGTGTGTGTGTGTGTGTGTATACCACATAACATGAATGATCACAAAAGAAAATTTCCCAGTCTGTAGATTGGTTTGCACTTCTTAAATATATGATTTTAATTTTGCTAAAATAATTTGGCTTATTACTTAGGGCTTAGACAATATTTCATGTTTTCAAAGCAATTGACATCACTTTACTAAAAACTGAAAGCTGAAAAGAGAAAGGGGGGGAAAAAGACAATAAAAGGGTTAGTTGCCCCCCAACTGCTTGGATGATTCAGTTAAAGGGACAATCCTATTGGCAGAGTCATAAAACAAATACCAAACACTATTATAATCTTCAGTTCAGATAAGATACTTGAATAGAACATCAGGAACAATGCTGTACTAGCGGGAAGAAAGACCATCTTGACCTAGTACGTCCTTTCCATATCTAGTTTTGGTAACTTCTAGAATCATTTGTTTCTCAGTTCTGTTCCAGATGAAGGCTGATAAATTCTTTGCATGTCCCTAAGAAACAAAAGTTACTTTTACATTATAAAAGTAGACTTAAGAAATGAACTTATGATTGGCTAAATCAGTCATGTGACCGCGCAGGTAATTAGCGCATCCACAGAGATTACAACTTTCCCCTGCTAAATGATGAGAACAAAGATCAAAACACCAAACACTGTGACCTGGTCAACAGCTTCACAACCCAGAAAACAAAATAATTGATTACTAATTGCTCCCCATAAAATGGAATAATGTAACTCTGGGCTAGAAAGAAATTCTGCCCTTTCTCTTTCCCCTCTTAACTGATTGATACTGTACATGGGAATTGCAATATCTGCACATGTATCGGGTGAAATAAGCACTTAGGATACTATAGTGATGAGGACTATAGAAAATCTTTAGATAGATAGGTCGGTAGCTAAATATAACGAGTTTGATATACACATACAAGAAATAAAACTTACCCTAAGGGTTTCATTACATTGCATGCTGCTGTCATGGAGGTTGAGGGTGGTTGATGTGTGAGAGAGAGATTCCTGATACCCCCATTCAGACCCCCAACTCCTAACATTAACGTGCCATCATCTCTCACTCGTGTCCCAGAACATCCCTCTCAATCCCCGCCCCCGCACATTCATCCAGCACCCTCCCAAATAAATCCATTTGCAAGTTCCTACTGTGATTCCAAACCCACAATTTTGCCTCTGGCTAAAGGATGGGTGAGTTGTGGCAAGAAACAGGGTGAATTTTGAGTCCCAGGCAGGAAAAAAAGGTTGGGAATCACTGTCTTCTCCCTCAGGACTGACAGACACACATTGTACCTATCTGTGTATATTGCTCATAACTAGAAAGCAATGAAAAATGAAGGTACCATTACACTATATATTGCCATCACAAAATATTAAAAAGAAGGACCAAACATCATTACAAGTATCCACTTTATCCATTAATTTGAATGATCATCTCTGTAGTCCAGCCAGCTCACTCAGTCCTACACTTCTGTCCTTGATTTAAATCTGGCAAAGATTTTGTAGCAATAAGTACATCAAGTAGCCACTTGCCTCATGTAACCCCTGAATAATTGTGAAGTCTCCTAGAAATAAAAAAAGATGAGAGTCCCAGGAGAGTTTAATGCCCAACTCAGCTTTTCAAAAATACTAAGAGACATACAATCCCATAACGTGTGTAAGAGAATATCCAGCAACCGCAGATATTATTACAGTACTGGCAATACCAGCAGCACACAGGTCCAGTTGGGCAGGGGTCCAACGGGGCTTAACAATGAACATTTGTTGCTAACTGTGCGGCATTTTGAATAAGCTGTGCCATTAATTCTTTAAGAGAAGGGGAAGTAGCCAGTGAACAACATTGTCAATGTATCTCAGCCTGCAGTAGAAGGATAATGGACCTCTGACTCAAAGAACAGCATTTCTTGTGAAGGCTTTGTACTGAAGGGATAAAGAACTAAGCAACTGCTACAAATAGAGATGGACAAAATATGTGAAGTGAAATTGTTCTGCCATAACATTTTGAATTGCCTGTTTGTGTTTTAAATTCACAGAGTACTGCAAAAATATAACTTTGCTGTGAGAAATTATTCAGTGAAGTTGGCCACGGGCTGTATTGAGCTTTACCTTCACCTTCTCCACTGACTAGCCATAACAGTGTTTTGCACATGTACAGCAATTTACAGATATTATGTATCACAATATTTGTGTCATAATGCCGATACCGTCATTTTATACATACAAGAAGAGAGGTTTGGAGCGGTTAAGTGATTTGCTCGGGGTCATCATACAAGTTGGTGGAAAAAAGCTGGTAATTGTGTCCAGGAGTCATGGTCCCTGCCGTGTTTTCTAATTGCCTACTACAAAGGGAAGGATAGTCTTTGGCTAAAGCAATGGGCTAGGACTCAAAAGATCTGAGTTCCAACCCCAGCTCTTCAACAGACTTCCTGAGTCTCAACTTCCCCATCTATAAAATGGTGATAAACCTGATAGTATGCGACAGGATTGGTTATCAGGATTCATTCCCTCCTATTTGCACAGTGCTTGGAGATCTTCAAACGTACTTGCATCACGTGCCTTCTAATCTGGGTAATATTGCCTGTAGATGCAAGACTAATAGAGCAGTTAGCCTAATAACTGCTTGTATCATTACCAAGATTGTTAAATGCTGGAGATATTGAGGGGTGAGAGAAGATACTAAACCCGAAATGCTGACTAAATTTTTATTACTCGTAACTAAAATTATAAGCAGGATGGGATGGAGGTAAGATCACATTCTGAAATTTAATTTCCATGGCTGATCATTAAGGATTTTTAATATAGTCCATTTAGTATTCCTTTTCCCTTTTATGTTAGACTAGAGCAGCAATCTTTACAAGCAAGGCATGTAAATGCACAGCAGCTGTTACTCCATTGTGGCCTGCATTCTCTGAACGTATTGCTTCATGAATCCTCACAGCTTGTGAATGAATCATTTTTCTCTTGATATAGAAGTGGCCTCCAAAATCATTTTCCAGCCCCCCTCTGGCCCCACCGCCACTGTGCATTACATTCGTCTAGCTTTGAATTGAGGTCCAGAACTCAGAAATGACTAACATTTGTGCATGAAGCCATTATCCAACAGACTGATCTGGACCCCTCCCTGAGGAACTTCAATACTCCAGAGAGGGTCCCTCCAGAACTATTTGTCTGCAGCAACTCACTAACCTTCCTGTGACTGATTTTCCTGTCCCTCACACCATGTTCTTTCTTACCACACCCTTCCCCTCAAGAGCAACTGATTGAGTCCCAACTGTTCAATCAATCCAAGCCATGTTTAACCCTGGATTCTGAAGTGGAATCTCTCTGGTATTCAGTTCACACCAGGAAGCTAGGGTTTAGCGCTCTGAATAGAAACATGACAATGACCTGCCCTGGGGCGTTGGTGGGCTCTGGCCTAAAGTTACCTTCATGGTCACATAGGTCCCAGCTCTTCGCCGAGCACTGCACTACACACCAAAGGTAGGATTTTCCAAAGTGCTCAGTGTTGTACCAACTTTGCTCCCATTGATGACAATGATAAAATTCCATGGCAGCAGAGCACAGAGTGCTACTGAAATCCCCCTCCCCAATTTACTATCCAATGCTCAGTCCCAGACTCGAATTCGATCAGCTAGCATTCACAGAGAGGAAAGCATAGCAAAGCTCGTGACGAAATTGCATGATATGCCACATCTATTGTTAACTGAAGACATGTTTAATCCACCACGTGGTCGTCTGCCCTCACAGTGCCCACTGTGGATAAGTTTACTAGGTGAGGGATTTATGGTAGAGGACACATGGCAAGCTTCATGGTCCGCAGAGAAAGTGACAAATTATTATCTTGTCTCAGACCCCATTCGGTGTCAACCCGGGTTTGATTTACCACAAAGGCAATGGAGCCTTCTCAACCGGTTTCATAGCGGACATGGAATTTGTGCTGCAGCAGAATTTCTTTGGCATTTAGATACAGTCCACTATGTCAATGTGGGCAGCCACAACCATGACACACATCGTTGAGGACTGCAAAATGATTCATCTTCCTGGAGGCCTTCGTGCCTTCAACACTGTTGATAAGAAAGTGGTGGCTTGGATTGCCCAGATTGCATACCCCAAATAAATAAATAAATAAA